TGTGTGTATACTTGTCATGTGAACTGATATGAAATAAATTTGTGAGTTTTCGTGTTGTTTTCATTAATGCTCCAGATGTTGTATGTGGTGAAAACTTCATAACCATATATGTAGAAAAGTCGATCGTATCTAATTCTACAACACCACATCTGCTTGACCAATCCTGTGTCCCGTACGGATATGTAACCAGAAATGGTATACTTTGGATGTATTTTATGACGCAGTACGACCAATGTGGTACATACCTTACCGTAAGTAGGTATTAGGCCTGGACCTAAGTACATATCGGCTCTCTTGATGTATATTATTCATCATGAACTTTTCTTTTTCAGTTACTGCATATAATAAATCTTTCCAATAAACCGTAAGACGTAAATATAATAATTATGTTTGTGGGACATGAACGTAATTCTGACCACACATTGAATAACACAATCTGATTGGTCACTTGTTAAATTTAGATTGACGCTCTAAAGAAGGTACGCACTGTCCACATTTTATAGTAATACGTAGTGGTAGGCGCATACTGCAGTTGGTAGGCTCAATTTCTGTGTATTTGTTTATTTTGTTTTTAGAGAGAGCAGCTTAGCTTAGTCGGCTAAACAGGTGATAGCCACTGTGTTTGCGCTGAACCATGGAGATCTCTTGGTCCGCGATTTAGTTCCCAATGCTCTCCTTGTATTTCAGCTAGATGGCTAAAATGCAAGTTAGATAGCGCACCGTGTTTCGGATGAGACGTTAAAGCCGTTGGTCCCGTGTGCATTATGGCAATACACTCTTTGGAAAAAAGTAGGGGATTGTCTCCCGGTGCACTGCCTAAACACCATCAGAAGGAACCCACTAGAAATAAGTCTTCTTCGGAATTTCGAGTGTTATCCTTGGTGTTTACACAGAATAAATCCAATACAATTTTTAGACCGCAGGTTAATCTATTTTTCATGTAGGCTTAGAACATGTTACAATATTTGCCTAATTTCCTCTCTTTTATAAGAATGATAATTAGTGATAATTTTATAAGTAAAATTAGGCTAAGCTAAAAGCATTTAAAATTGAGAAAATAATAGTTGATGATACTAAAGCAAGTTGATCTATTCGTGTAAATTTAACAAATAATAATATTGGGGATTGATAAATATCGACAAGGTTGATGTCTTAACATCATAGGCCCCTATCAGTTCAGCTTTCGGTCTAATCAGAGATAAACACTACAGGTCTATAGTTTTTGTTACCCAATTTATTTGTTCACGTTGTGTTTCAGTCATCCATTGAGGATTCCACTTACCACAATGAGGTGACAATTCCATATGCTATTGATCAAGCTTCTGGCACCTACCGCGGAAACAGTAAGAAGATTGCAGTTCGATGCCGCTTCGAAAATAACGCCGAATTATCATTAAGCTTCATTCCCCACGAAGTGGTGAAAGTATCCAGCAAAGAAAGTTCTGGCAATCTTACGTTTCAACTGCAACTGTACACGGATGAACATTTTACACAACCAATACCGAGATGGAGTTATCCAGTTACGTTAGATATTGGCACCAGGGTGTATGTTGGTGCTAAAGTTGAAACGTTCTCGACAGAGATGACACTTTTTATCGATTCCTGTATTGCATCACCAACACAGGAAACAGATACAGAACCAAATTTTACGTTGATTGATCAGCGGTTAGTATTTTTAATGGCTTGGATTTCTCATTATTCTACAATCAAATACATAGACCGATTCTTCATTCATTAGCTGCTTAAAGTTAGTGCAACAAAATCAACTTATAATAAAATAAATACTGGTATTATAAAGTTGTTGTATCAATGACCTAGTCTGCCGCACACGAGAGCTGTATGCTAACGCCAATTGCCATTCGTGGCGCTTGTCATTCGATAGCTCTGACAGGCTTTAAAGCGACTCTCGTGCGTACCGTGCACTTAATTGTGTAAGTGAGCACGTGCAATGAGCTTACCAATTAGAACAGGGTAAATAAAAATAATACGCACATGTCCCATAAACACGTATGGAAACGCTGGCATCTTGGGTGTGTGTGGGGGGGGGGTGTATGTGTGTGCTTCAGGGACGTTGCCAAGATTTTTAAAAGGGGAACAGTCTTGCGACGTACGGTACATAGTACTGAGCGGGGTGGGTCTGGGAGGGGTGTCCCTGTGACTGGGGACCGGGGGCCGCCAAGCGCCCCCGGTGGGGCAAATATCCCTGGTGGGGCCCCCCGGGAGATATCGTATTCTGTACGTTTTTAGGACTGTTTTGAGTAATTGTGGACAAACGTTTTACAGATAAAGTGAAAATTGCAGTAGACGCATCATAATATTAGTTGGCCTTACAATAATTATAATAATAACTCAAAACATGTTTTATTCAAAATAGTCTTTTAACGAAGAATATGCATAAAAACAAAGTCACATTCTCCTGAAAACAAATTTATGCACCACCCCAGTCACTAAGACATACTCTGAGTGAGGTGTTGACTGGATGGCGTTTAATGTTATCCCAAGGGTTATATCTGTTTTGAAACGATGTTTGGAGCTGAGGTATGAAAATTTGAGGGAATAATTCCTCTAGAGAGCCACTCTTATATAACAAAATTCATCGTTACATCACCGTTGTATTCAAAATGAATCTCCCACACATTTCTCATGATCTTTTATCAGTGATTTTCGGCAACTATAGAGATCTAATAATTATGTGTGATGTACCAAACAAAATAAAACTTAAAAACGTTGTCTTTGATGTATTCACTTTTTACCTAGGCCTACTTCAAAGCTGTAATTCCTATCTTTTTTGCACTGGTTTTTTCTGACCGACACTTTGGTCACTTCCCATGCTTAGAACTTTTCCATGCTTTGCCGAAGCTAGACCATATGTCAAGGATGTGCGTCCTAATATTTAGTGTCAATCTAGGGTGGGGTATATGTGTAAGGACCAAATAAAATGATTTAAGGGCAAACAGTCTACACTGGATATTTTTAAAAACCGGTCAATTTGTCTGAATGAAACTTACGTCCCAGTAATAAATGGATAAAAATGAAACTTTGCAGCATACTTTGTCATGGTCAAATAAAGCAATGATCAAATTTTGGTGACGATCCGCGATCCGTGTGGATATTATTTGGACAGTAGATTAAATTATATAAACGCAATTTGCGTTTTCTAAAGCGCTTAAACAAGTTGTAGCTGGTTAAACTCAAAACTACCGTGATATGCATAAACAATTTTTGCTTTCAGTCACTGAATCCTGTCTCTTATACACATCTAGATGTGTATAAGAGACAGGTGATAGCCACTGTGTTTGCGCTGAACCATGGAGATCTCTTGGTCCGCGATTTAGTTCCCAATGCTCTCCTTGTATTTCAGCTAGATGGATAAAATGCAAGTTAGATAGCGCCCCGTGTTTCGGATGAGTCGTTGAAGCCGTTGGTCCCGTGTG